CCACCGGGGCCTCCACCCGGCGGGTGAGCGGCGGCGGGAGGGGGGGACCCCCGCCGGCGGGAAAGGGGGGAGCCCCCAGACCCACGCGTCCCTCCCCGCCGCAGGTGGCCATCCGGGAGGCCTACGAGGCCGGGCTGCTGGGGCGGGATGCCTGCGGCTCCGGCTACGCCTTCGACGTCTTCGTGGTGAGGGGCGCCGGAGCCTACATCTGCGGGGAGGAGACGGCGCTGATCGAGTCCATCGAGGGCAAGCAGGGCAAGCCGCGCCTGAAGCCGCCCTTCCCCGCCGACGTGGGTACGGCCCCAGCCCTCCCCGCTTTGCTCTGCTTCATTTCCAGCCGCCGCTCGAGAGCAGGACAAAATGGCGGCCACTGGACAAATCGGTGGCTACCAGATAAACCCCGTCATCCCCGGGCTGCCGTCCTGCCGCAGACAGACAGAGTGTGGCCGTTGAGAGCTCCCGTTGCTTCCAGGTGTCTTCGGTTGCCCCACCACGGTGGCCAACGTGGAGACGGTGGCGGTGGCCCCCACCATCTGCCGGCGGGGCGGCGCCTGGTTCGCCGGCTTCGGGCGGGAGCGCAACTCGGGGACGAAACTCTTCAACATCTCGGGTCACGTCAACAACCCCTGCACCGTGGAGGAGGAGATGTCGGTGCCGCTGAAGGAGCTCATCGAGAAGCACGCCGGTAAGCGCCGCAGGCCGCCGAGCTGCACCAGGCCGGCGCCGGGCCCGGCTCAGCCCGTCCTGTCCCCCTGTCTCTGGCAGGGGGTGTCCGCGGGGGCTGGGACAACCTGCTGGCCGTCATCCCGGGGGGCTCCTCCACGCCGCTGCTCCCCAAGTCGGTGTGCGAGACCGTGCTGATGGACTTCGACGCCCTGGTGCAGGCGCAGAGCGGGCTCGGCACGGCCGCCGTCATCGTCATGGACAAATCGGTAAGGGAGGAGCCCCCCTCCCCGCCCGCCCCGTGCCGTGGCAGGGCCCTCACCCTCCTCTCCCTCCCCAGACCGACGTCGTTAAAGCCATCGCTCGCCTCATCGAGTTTTACAAGCACGAGAGTTGCGGGCAGTGCACCCCGTGCCGGGAAGGTGAGGTCCATGGGGCGGGGGGTCCGTGGGGCCGCACCGCAGGCCCCTCACCGCCTCTCCCTCCCCGCAGGCGTCGACTGGATGAACAAGGTCATGGCGCGCTTCGTGCAGGGCAACGCGCAGGCGGCCGAGATCGACGCGCTGTGGGAGATCAGCAAGCAGATCGAGGGCCACACCATCTGCGCCCTGGGGGACGGCGCGGCCTGGCCTGTGCAGGTTGGCAGAGGGGGGATTTGGGGCCGGGGGCCTCTCTCTGCCCCGTTAACTCCGTCCCCTTTGCTCCACGCAGGGGCTCATCCGTCACTTCCGACCGGAGCTGGAGGAGAGGATGCGGCGCTACGGGGAGGCCAAAGCCCGAGCGGCGGCAGCAGGAGGAGCCGGCGGCGGA